GCTTAGCAAGACCCTGTCTCAAAATAAAATATAAACAGGGCTGGGGAGATGGCTCATGGTTAAGTGCCCCTGGGTTCCATCCCTGGTACACAACAAACAAACAGACACCGAGATCCTCTCAGGCTTGGTGTTAATTAGACTTAGGTGGGTGTGATTTGGTGTGTTCCTTATTCAAGATAGTCATCCTATTCTTTCGGTATGTTCCTTCTGGAACATCAGTTGATGCTCGAGGTACTTGGAGAGCTTTTCCCATTCTAGTTAGGCTGGAACCTCAATGTTTATTAATAGAAAATGACCTCTGGTATCTCCATTCATTTTCTAATACATAGCAGCGCTCTCTGCTATGCACATGGAATTTCATCCTGCACACATGCAACCCAGCCCTCTGCACAAGACCTTTTGCACAGACTTCTGCACCTACCAACAGACATCTTCCTCCCCACAACAGCTGTCCAAACTCCATCTAGATTAGATGTACTTATCCAACTTGACTTATCTGGAGCAGAGAGCTCAGTGTTCCCTTTTGAATTCTTTCTTCTTTCTCTGATCCAGGCTTAGGTGGTGACATAACCCCATTATCTAGTCTCTCTTTGGTACCCTCTTCTCCAAAATCCTTTGACCACAGCTTCACATCAATTTGCCCTTGACTGTGTCCTTCCCTTTTCTCTCCATGGCAGCAGTCTTGATTGTTCTCAACTATGTGGTCCCACACCATTTTACTAATGCAACTGCTAGATAGAACACCAAACTTATCATTATTATACAGCAACAGTCAGTTAATAAATAATTGTAAACTGTGTGAAGGAATAAATGGTCTGGTGTATCCTGCAAACTTGCTCGATAGTGATTTTTTTTGGCAGGGACAATTAAGCACAGGATACATGAGAGATATTTGATAAATGTGAGTTGAATGAGTAACATATTGTGAATATTTTCTCATAATTACATCAAGTTACCTAGATTAGTTTATATGATTTGTCATAATTGGTCACCAGGTCATGTTCAGTATTTCCCAACCTATCGTAAAAACATTTTTTGGGGGAGAGAGAACAAGTCAAGAAAAGTATACTCTAAAGTATGCCCATCAACCAGACCATTTTAGATGCGTCTTTAGTTTTCTTAAAATAGAAAGGACAACAAGAGCAAGAAGCATGTCCGTACTACCACCATTTTGAGTTTTACTGATGTTCCCAGTTTTTCTTCAAATGCCAACACTAGGAGTTGGGGAACACACTTAATAAGTTCACAGAAACAAACAAAAGTAACTGTAGACATTTGTGCTATGCCAGAGACAAAAAATTTATTAGCATGATCATGAGGGAGTCCTTCAATTTACAGAAAGACACCACCCAAGACTGGAAACAGAATTCCCAAACACCCAAAGAAAGGTACACTTCAATATGGAGGAATCACACAACTTTGGGAAACTATAGGCTTCCACCTATTCACCCTGCCCTTGGCTCCGGATCGTAGCTACACGGTTATTGAAAGTCCCTTGATTTTTTTTTTTTTTTTTTTTGGTGGTGGTGATGGGGTGGCAGTGTCATCAGTGATCATGCCACCCCCGTTCCAGTTTTTAAAGCAGAGTGAGCTAGTTGCAGGTGCTGAGACAGGTGAATGTTAGAGCTTCTGGGTTGACTCTCTGAATGACAGGCACTGAGCAAAGCAGACACCGGTCAGCAGCATCTTGGGACGCAGGGGTCACAGCTGGGCTGAGTGTAGGTGGTGAGGTTGATGGTCTCCAGGTCTGGGGTGGGATAGGAGGAGTTGAGCAGGAAGCAGGTGGGCACACAGGGCTGAGGGATGTGGCAGGGTGGGGGGCAGTTGTCACAGCAGGTTGGCTCCAGTTGCCAGACGGTGTGGGGGCAGGTGCTGGGCAGGCAGACTCCACAGCGGCAGGACTTGTCTGAGGAGCAGATGGTGGTGGCAGGGCCGGTGGGGACGCTGCAGCAGCGGGCAATACAGCAGGACATGGCGTTGGGGGTCAGGTGTGCCTTGGGTCTCTTAGGAAGGTGAGGTTTCTGAGGTTCAAATGTCTCCTCTCACTTTGAGGCTCTTATATACCCTTCCCAGAGGGTGTGGATCCAATGGGAAGGCTTCTTTCCTGATTCTTGCTTATGTTAGTGTTCCCATTATCTAGTAATTGGTTTGACGTTTAAATGCCGGTAAAGAGTCCCTATTGTCTTAATGAACTTTTATTTGAGTTCATTGCTAAATATGAACTGATTACTCTTGCTATTTGTCACTCAAACACAGCTTTATGAGGTCTCACCAGATGCTTCAGTACTATAATTCCAACACCCGCCTGCTGGGGACATGGCATGATCGTAATCTGCAGCATGTGGGGTTTTTTTCTGTGCTGCTATTAAGTTTTTATTTTCTGTACCTTTATCAGTATCAACTGATTTAATGAAGAATTATGGTTTTAAAGAGATAAACTTAATTTTAGTCACTTTCTTTTACCCTTGAGGCTTTGGAGATCAAAATTGTCTTAACATGGAGAGATAGGTTACTGAGAAATATGAGAAAACTTTAAAAAAATACTCATCATTTCAGTTTTTTTAACCATAAAATATTATATCATATCAAAATTTGGAAAACATAAATAAACAATAAAGATAACAGCTCATCCACAATCTTATCATCAGGAGAAATTACCTGTTAATGTTTCATACACATATATGAAGCAGATCATTTCTGTTTATGTGTATTTATCCTTTTATTACATTATTGGAAGCGTATTGTATTGAAAATATACATGTTTACATGTATATTTTCAATATTTTCTATTTATTTGTATATTTGTTGTTACTTTTAATACTTCCTGATATTCATCATATCATTGTAAGTTTCTTTAAGAATTTCATTTTATTAAACCCTCAGGTTATTTTCAAGTCTCCTCTATGATAATTGTGGCAATAGAGAATGACCAGGTATATAAATCTTGGTGTAAATTTCTGATTATTTCAGAAACAGATACAATTACTAGGCAAGAACTCTAGGGGCAAATGTTAATTCACACTATTTTAAAGACCGACCCCTGATAGTCATTGCCATTCTGCTCTCCACCATGGCTCTGAAAATCTGTTCTTTCCTATTTATCTTTTCCCATCACCTGTGTTTGAGAATTTGTTTCCCTATATCTTTAATATTTTTAAAGTGTTTGTCAATGTATGGGTAAAAAATGAAATTCCATTATTGTATTTGTATTTTTTTCATACCTAGGTAGGTTCAAACACCCTTCATAAGGTCATTTAACTTTCTATGGAGGACTGAATTGCCTTGAGGGGAAATTGAATTTTTGGCTTATGTCTGTGTACACTAAGTGAAAAAATAACTTAAGACCACAATGCTAACACTCAAGTAAAATTGAGATGAAGGGAAAGAAAACTTATGGGCCTGAGCTAGATTAATAGGTTGACATTTGATTTTCATTCTCTTTTTTTCTCCAATGTAATGCATTTTTCTCCCCAGATCACAGGTAGCTATAGAAGAAAGACCTGGATTTTAGTGCCAGTACATTATTTAGACTTTAGTCATAATTCAGTGTTTAAGAGTGAGCATGAGTATTACCCTGACATCGCAAGCCATTTCCACTCAGCTTGGACTCACTTGCCCTCCCAGCCATGGTTCTTCTCCATGAAGTCTACCTGTGAGGGTCTGAAGGTGAGCTTGTCTGTATGTTTTGCAATTTGAGCCGTAGACCCAAGAGGACTGCTTTAGGAGCCACAAGACCTCTTCGATAGTCCTAGTGCTACTGGTCCTCTCCCCGCATCTTGTTATGGCAAGTATTTCACTTTTTAAAGGCTCATCTCTCCCCCCCGCCCCTCTGCAAAGTAATGGCAATAATATCTGTATTCCTCCACTTTGAAGATTACTGTGAGGTTCACATAAGATAAAAAGTGTTAAGGTCCATGGACAACCATAAAGCATAATGCGAAAAATAAATCATCACCACCAGTGAAGTCAGTTGCAGATCAAATTCAAGGCAAAGTAAAGATGAAAGGAACAGTCAAAAGAAGAAGAGAAAAAAAGAGCTAAAGAGCAGCCCTGGGCTTAATCTCCAGTACTATAAAAACAAAACAACCAAACAGAAACCAAAAAACAAAGAGAACAGTCTTATAGGAAATAAGAAACATTAACCTAAAAAAATGCACATCAACTAAATGAATCGATTAATATTCATGCCTACAAGAAAAGAAAGTGGTTAGCATATAAATTAATGAATTGAAAAAAAATTGAAAAACTTCCCTATGGCTCTACTTGAAAGAGAAGATTCGTGACTTCTCCTGGTGGCATTTCCCCAATTTATTTTTGCGTAGATATCTGCCAAGTTGCATACCCTATTACTCAGGACTGATAAATATTTCACTCACTATTTGAAAATTAATTCAATAAGCATTTATTGAGTGATTACCATGTACCAGGTCCTGTGATAAATGTTGGCAGTTCAACAATGAACAAAATAAACATTATCCCCGCTCTCACGGAATTTATAGTCTGATGGAAAGGTTTACCACATATAATGTACTATTATAAATTGCTGCTATTATACATTATAAAATGATATATTTTGAGCTCTAAGAGCAAAAAACAAGAACAATAACAAAAAAGGAATTGATTTTGATATTTTAAGGAAACATTGCAAAGGAAAAGTGACCTGCAGACACAATTAGCATTTCATGGGAAAAAGATATCAATCTCCTATTCAGAATGCAACATGACTTCAGGCTCACCATAAAAGGTTAAAAGCATTGTGATTGTTTATGTAGAACATCAAGCTTCTCTAATTATAAGTAAGACTGAAGATTGTAGGATAGAAACAGTTATAAAGCTAATAAGTGTAGTCTGATCAATTCATCTCTTTTATTGAAAAGACTTTTAGTGTTTATTAAGATGTGTTTTCTCATATATGAAAATAAATAAATAAATAAGATATGAAGTGCAGGGGGGGTTTAAGGCAGTGACACTATTCTATAGGATACTGGAATGGTGGACACATGACATTATGCATTTGTCAAATAAAAAATGCATGGAACTTCAAAAAAAAAAAAAAGAGAGATGCATTGTCTCTGCAGTGGTCTAAGAGACCTGGGAATTACTCTTCTTTGTTTATAAATGAAGATAGGGAGTTCAGAAAGGCAAGGAAATTGGCTTTTCATGGCCTGCTGACTAACTTGTTAAAAGCTAAATATAGGTTCTATCAGGACTGAGCTAATTTTTAGGTGGTTAACAATGGAAGTTTGAACAATGTGTCAGAGATACAAAACATATTTTATTAGTTCTCCTTTTTCTTTAAGCTAATATAAGAGAAACACAGTGATACTTCAGTAAATGGTAGATTTTTAGCACTTTGAAAATCCATTCTCTCTCTCTCTCTCTCTCTCTCTCTCTCTCTCTCTCTCTCTCTCTCTAATACCTTGTGCAGTTTCAA